AGGAGAAGAAGAAGAGGGAGGAGGAGAAGAAGGAAGAAGAGGAAGAATAAGAGGGGGAGGGGAGGAAGAAGAGGAGGGAGGAGGAGGAAGAAGATGAAGGAGAAGAAGAAGAGGGAGGAGGAGAAGAGGAAGGAGGAGAAGAAGGAAGAGGAGGAGGAAGAAGGGAGGAGGAGGAAGAAGAAGAGGAGGAGGAAGAAGAGAGGGAGAAGGAGAAGAAGGAAAAAGAGGAGGAAGAAGAAGAGGGAGGAGGAAAAGTTAGTCCTTGATGCTCTCTGAGCTTGTCAATTTGCTAGCAGATGTTTCATTACCAAACTATTTAACATCATCAGTGCTGGAAGGGAGTTATTTTCCCTGGCAGTGTTGGTGAGGGTCTTCTTGGTGGTTCTTCCTAGATCTGGCTGTTGTTTACTGTTAGATTGTTGGTCGGAGTTGGTTTTTCCCTGATTGGAGTTTTGTTTATTTCTTGAGTGTTGATCCAGCGTTAATTTTGGCATTCATTCTACTCCTCTGGGTGTTGATTGCTGGTGAAGGACCAAAAAACACTGATGATGTTACCTAGTTGGGTTATGAAAGGTCTGCAAGAAAACAAGCTCAGAGAGCACCAAGGACCCCACAGCAAACACAGGGCACGAAGCTCAGCTGATCAGGGGAGAACATTTGAGCCAGTTGTTGTTCAGTGGTTCACAACCCTTCACGCCCACGCCGGCTTCGCCTTTTCTCTTCCAGCTGCCCCCGGAGAGGAGCTGTCCAAGACGGACCAATCCAGCAACATCAAGCGCGTGCAGGCGATGCGACGGAGGCACAACGCAGGAAGCAACCCCACCCCGCCATCCTCCGTAATGGGGTCCCCCCCGAGGTAAGCCTGTCTGCCAAGGGCTTTTGCCCCGCAGCAGCTGGTCCTCTCCGGCCTCTCACACACACCCCTTCTCTCTCCGTTCTTTATGTGCAGTTTGCAGGACCTCCAGCGGGGCCGAGCCTCCTCCCACTCCCGGGCGCTGACCCTGCCCTCGGCCCTCCAGTTTGCCAGCTCGCTTCTGCTGCCCCGCGGCGCCATCCATGAAGCCTGCAACTTTGACGACACTTCCGAAGGGGCTGTCCATTACTTCTACGACGAGAGCGGTGAGTGTGTGTGTGTGTAGGGGGGGGGAGTTGGGTGGGAGGACGGACCTGGCAGCTCTATTAACGGGGAGGGAACTTGTACTGGTGGCTGTTCTGACCAAGGCTTCCCAAAACCGTAATTAAGCACACACTTAGTTAAAACAACTCTTGTTTT